GGAAATAGCGCCAATGACTTTATTTCCAAATTTTTGTTGACTTTATTTCGCTTTTGAAAAGGTAATAATGTCAATTGACTTTGTTTCGCAACAGGGTGGGAAATAAAGTCAATTGACCTTATTTCCATTGACCTTATTACCTGTCACCATTTGCAAATAGTATCACTAATCAATACTTATTTTCGTGATTTAGTTATTTGTAAATAAAAAATTAACTCAGCGTTTATACGGCAAAGTTTACCATTTTGCAAATTGTTATTTGCAAATAAGACGTGCGTATAAACGTAGTAATAGACTAACTGATGAAAGTGTTGAAGGAACAGGTGATGAATAAGGCAATTAGAATCAAAGCAGGAACTTTTTTGTAGCGGTGGTTTATTGCTTCCCTTTTTTGTTATTAAGGGTATTCATCAAACCTTATAAATGCATTGTAAACCTTATAAACTTATAATTGTGTAAAGCTTATAAATGAACTGTCAAAATTTGTATGGAAACTCGTTTACACATTTCTGATAAATTTCTCCAGCGATTTCACTGAGGCCCTGTGCCAATTGATAGAAAATAGAAAATTTTGACGGATCAAAGTAAAAATTTGACACTTCTCGTGGTGAATACGAACGTCAAAATTTTACCTAGCTCATGGGGCTAGGTAAAATTTTGACAACTTCTAAATATGTTTACAAATAGCATTGTTTGGCGGTAATAAAGAGTTCAAATCAAAATAGAAGCTGAAAAAATGGCAAAAAAAAACGTACGTTACTTGTAAGTTATAAGATAAATGAAACTTATGCGCGAATATTTATGTATGGAACCACGCGGAAAGANGGTAATAAAGAGTTCAAATCAAAATAGAAGCTGAAAAAATGGCAAAAAAAGCGTACGTTACTTGTAAGTTATAAGATAAATGAAACTTATGCGCGAATATTTATGTATTTATTTATTCTATCTGTTTAAAGGGAACCACGCGGAAAGGCTTATGTTAATAAGAAGGAGGACAGAAGAGGATGCGCTGTTCAGCGGCAAAAATGCAAACTCCAACGAAGGATGGAAGTAAGTAAAATATAATATTTATGTACATATATAGTTGATTGGCAGATCTGAATGTAATTTTGCAGAAAAGTATCGGCGTCGCTTCCAATGAACAAAGACTGGATGTGCTGCAAGTCACAGTGGAATGCTCTAGTGAAGAAATACAAAAGTTTCTTTCGCTACAAAACAGGCATGGACACATCCATTTGATGGTTAAAATTGTATTTACCAAAATGTTATTTTTACACCGGGCGAAGGAACAGGAGAAGAGGCGGTAGCAGAGGAAGCAAAAGACTGGCAGTATTTCGACGCGATGCACGAGTATGCATCGCAGAAAGACAATTACCATCCCCCCTATTTATTGGACAGCGGAGAAGGAGAAGTGTCCATGAGAGAGAAATCTCCAACACCTTTCAGCTCATCTGCAGCCCCTTCAACTTCTCGCTCATCCACATCGCGATGGAGATCGGGCACTCCACAGCTGCGCAACAGAGATGAGCGTTTTCAGAGGCTGGAGCAGCATATTATAAGACGTGACCATAAATTCAAAAGGAGAGTGGGATCTTTACTTGCGGTTTTTGGGCAAATGGTACAAACCGATTATCCCCACATAAATGTAGACAGTTTGCTCGTATCTTCCGAATCGGATTCAGACTAATGTTTAATACGAATTTGATTTTATTAGTTCGTGTAGTTTTAAGAAAAAATGAAGTGATATCTTAATTTTTTATTTAAATAATGAGTGTCATAATTATAAGGTTACCGTACATTGATAAGTATAGCCTATCTCGATGGCTGAGTGGAAGATCGACCTATCTCGGCAGTCAGTTCGAAAACGCCCTATCTCAGAAAATTTTTCAACAACGCCCTACCGAATTTGGTTGAAGGATGCCGTATTTTAGAATTTGATTGAAAAACATTCTAAACACAGCTGCTGATTCAAAAACGCCCAATCTCTGCACATTTTCAATGTATTTTCGTTTGAGATAGGTCGTTTTTGAACCAAATTCTGAGATAGGGTATTTTTAATCAAATTCTAAAATAGGGCATCCTTCAACCAAATTCATTTTCTGAGATAGGGCGTTTTCGAGCTGACTGCCGAGATAGGTCGACGTTCCACTCAGCCATCGATTTGGTATTTTTTCCAAATTTATTTAGCCTTTTTTTATAAGAATATATTAAAAAATATCAGTTGAATGGGCTAGAAAACTGAAATTTCACTTATTAGTTTGAAAGTTGGACTTATAAGTTTTTTGTTAAAGAAGAAACTATATTCTTAAAAAAAATCTAAATAAATAAAAAAAAAATTATCAAATAGTCTATACTTATCAATGTACATTGACTTATCATTATGTTACTCACTATACACCTAATAAAAATAACATAAACCCACATTTCAAACTTTGAGCAAAGATTATAAAAATTCAGGAAACTATAAATAGTTTTATAATTTTTTCATAAAGTGTGAAATGTGGTTTTATGTTATTTTTATGAGATAATCGGCATACTTTTATAAAAAAAATTAACTGTGCATTATTTAATGAAAAGAAAACTGATCAAAATGTCGCCCTACTATTTTGTTACTCGCAGCTGTACCTACATATCCTTCATTTACATCAATCGTGTCATAACTCAAAAAAGCAACACTTTAGATAAACGGCTTTAAAGTTTTGAATTTACATACATATGCTCCCTTAGTAAAAATTAATTCATATTTTGTTCTAATGAGCTATTGGTAATCGGTACAGCTATGAAATTTTTACACAATATAGAAGAACAGGTAGCGGTAATTTCTGCATACTTAACTAAATTTTTGTATTTCTTTGATTATGCCACTATTGAAGTAAATGAGCGATATAGTAACAAGATTTGGTTACATACCAAAAAACATGAAGCTTCCTTGAAAAAGACTTATACGGTTTTAGGTAGAGAATGAACTTTATTTTTATTGAAGAAACTTCATTTTTATAGAAAACAATTAATTTAATTTGAAAATAGATAAATAAATAGTCGTAAACCTAACACTATGTGGCGAACTTATGATTTTATGCCACTCACTTTACATATATGTAGCATTAGATATTGAATACGTACCAAAAAATGCATGAAGCATAAAAGTAATAAATAAATTATAATGTCTAAAATATGCGTTTTTCTGAAAAAATTATAAAACTTCAGTTTAGAAGGTAGAATTTTCATTTTGTAAAAACGATGAAAATATTTGTTTTCTTTCTCCTAAACCGTCAACAGAATCAAAAAGTATATTTTTATTTCGGTTATTTACATTACTAAATTCGTCTTCCAGTATAGTGATTGAAGGGTCAAAATCTTCGTTCATTACACAAATATTATGTAAGACAAATGCACTAAATACCGTTTTTATACAATTTTTAATTGTTAGCTCTAGATCTCTGTTAAAAATATTTCTCCATCTAGTCTTTAAAATGCCAAAACTTTGTTCTACAATAATTCTTCCTCTACTATGTGCAGTATTAAACCGAGCTTGATCTTGAGTTAAAGGTTCTTTAAGGGCCGTTTGCACCATGTCTAGTTAATTCTATCTCCCAGTTAAACATCTTTATCGACGTTATCGACACCCATCATATAACATGTGATGGATAAAGCAGTTAACGTGCTTAACTGAAGGACCTCCAGTTAGCGTTAACTAGACATGGTGCAAACGGCCCTAAATGGCGTTATTACAGGAACTGGCGAAAGTTGACACGGGTATCCCTTATCACCAAATAAATAATATCCGTTTGGTGGATAGTTGCCTTTTGCATATAAAGGGCTATTTAGAAAAACACGGGTGTCATGCACAGAACCAGGAAAACCAACGAAAACATCAGTAAATTTTGAGTCACTATCTGCGACTGCTTGCACTTGAATGGAGTAAAACTTCTTATGGTTTATATATTCATCATGTTTGTTAACAGGGCATTTAATTCTTATATGAGTTCCATCGATAGCGCCAATGAACTTGATGAATGCTTTATTTTTTGCCTTCCGGCAAAACTTTAAACCAAGTCTATCATAGTCGTTCACAGAACCATGGTTAATCAAATGCCGCAGCTTCAAAAAGTCCTCTAGCATCTTATGTATTATATTTCTCACTGTGTACCTACTGAAACCCATAAAAGCTGCTGCGACCCGGTAACTACAACCACATGCCATCCAAAATAAAAAGCAAATAACTTCATACTCGCACGACCATCCATGATGTTTTCGGGGAATTGTCTGCACAATTTTTGTAAACGTGCTGGCAGAAATCCTTAAATGCATCCGAGTTTTTATTCTGTCACCAGACATAATTTCATTGATGTCCTCAGATATAACTCTCGGGTGAAGGTAAATAACTTCCTGAAATTATTCGCACAAAATTAAATATAAAAATATAACAACTTCCCACACAAGTATTACCTGGCGGCTCGCACGTTGCCTAAAGTTCTCAAGTAATATCAAATCATTAAATGAATACATTCCTTGTATTTCCATCAATATCGCCATCAGTAAAGAAAAGTATTTTCTTTCTATTCTGTTCGTTTTACATATAAATTTTAACAAATTTCAGCAACACACAAAAATAGACTTTTCGCTCGAGCGTTTGTTTGGTTTTTCAACTGTCAAAATTTAACTCTGCATTTGGCACAGCAAAATTCAATTTATTTGTACACCATAGCAAATTTTTCCACCCCGTCTCACTACGGAGAAAAAAGTTACCGATTGGCACAGGCCCTGAATAAACTTGATAAAGTGAAGCCAATGCAACTCTGTCGCAAATCTAGCTGTGTTTTCTTGGGCAATAATCGGGATCCGCATAAAAATTTTGCACGCAAATTCATCAATAACGATATGATCCTGATAGAGATCTGGTTCAATTATTATCCGTTATTATTATTATTGTTTGTTTTGTTTCATTGATAATTTGGCCGCATAGTTTGATACACAAACAGTAATTCTGTCATAGTTTCTTTTAAATTACTTCAAATAAATCGCCCCAATGTTATATGTGCATTTATTTAAATAGATATTATCTCGTAAATATAATTTTTTCCCATTTAATGAGTTAGTTTCTATAATTTCTTTATCCTCGTGCTAGTAATATAAAGTTAGTGATACTGAGCTCGATAACCAAAGAAAACACGACTATTGTCGCAAGTGCAAACGAAAAGAGAGTGTGGGTCGCTCATGAACAGAGTGCGTAAACTTATAAGATAATCTGCTTGATAAAATTATCGGTTTAGATGAATACCACTATTGTCTTGTATTTTGTGTATTTGTAAATTTTTATTTTGTTGATTGTTGGATTTTTTTTTTATTTCTTTTATAAGAGCTTCAGAGCCTTAGGTTTTACACGTACTGCACTTGATTGTTCTGTACATTCACGTTCGACAGTTTTCCTCACCGATAATAAACGACAACTTCGAGTTTCAATATTCTTTACGCAGCAGCTTTGCTCAACACGTCCGGACACAACACGACTTTTGATCTTGAAATTTTAGCAAATGTCATTATAAATAATTTATGAGATTGAAACGAAAACCGTGGAGCGCATGCAATGCAAAGCATTAGATTTAATTGACAGAAGTCAAACTACATAACATAGGCCTAAAATTTCTACAACGAAAGTACAAATTTGGGATCCATTTTATGTGGTCTTTATTCATATACCCACATGCATACATACTATATTACTTTTCATATTAATTCAAGTCTATTACAAGCGTACATGAACAGAAGACAATTGCGCAAATTTGATTCCTATTTGTACTAGTTGGTATTTGCGCAAATATTTGTGTGGTTTATTTTGTGCTTATGCGAGGAAAATGTTTTGGCTCACTTTTAGTATGTACATATATATATACGAGCACCAATTAATTTAATTTAAAAAAATGGCTTGTCGTCCATATTTTTAGACTCAATATTTAACTACTTCCAGTAAGGCAACTTTGATTATAATCTATAATTATAGCTAAAAATGGTGTTTGGATACACAACATTGCAAGTTGATAAAAGCGTTGTAAAATACAGCGTGTGCGCTGGCTTGGACATAATGTACCCATGGATGAGAGCAGCAATTGGAGAAGCTTTTTGGTCTCGGCCCAAACCGACAAACGGTTGTAGTGCCAAATAAGAAGAAGAAGAAAATTATTTTACCGGTTTACCGGTTACCGAATTATCGTGTTGTTGTAAGCTTGATAATTTTGCTGCCCACAGGCATAAAGGAGGATGGTTCCGTGCGCAGAAGTGGAAAACTTTTGACTGCCATTCACCTGGGAGTGGCCAGAAGCGATTCTTGTGCGTACGGTTCAAATCGCAGCTCACAACGTCCACATATTTATATCCACGTTTCCTCTAGGTAGCAACCAAACACCCGTTTCGGAGCAAGCTAAAGTGAGAAGGCGTAAAACTTCGCGTGCGCTGGGCTTGGGTCCCGCCACGTTAAAACCCCGCCCAAAAAAAAGAACAAACCGCCTCGGATGAGACCCCCTTTTTTGATGACGACCTCGGAAAACGTATAAAGGACTATGATTTAAGGGTATGCACCTGGAATATCTGGACCTTTAACGGGGAAGGTGCTTCTGCCCGGCTGGTTGATGTCCTCGGGAATACAAAGGCTGACATCACCTCCATCCAAGAAATGCGATGGACGGGGCAAGGAAAAGTAAGCGTGAAGCCTTGCGACGTCTACTACAGTTGCCACGTAAAGGAGCGCAAATTCGGTGTTGGATTGGTGGCAGGAGAGAGACTCCGTCGCCGAGTACTGGCGTTCACCACGGTGAACGAACGTCTAGCCACAATCCGCATCAAAGCTAGATTATTCAACATCTCGCTCATCTGCGCCCATACCCCGACGGAAGAAAAGGCTGAGGCGTTCAAGGATCTCTTCTATGAGCGCTTGGAACGTACATATGAGCGCTGCCCCCGATACGATGTCAAAATCGTGCTTGGCGATTTTAATGCCAA